GTTTTCGAAATTCTTCTGTTAGAAATTTCTCTTGTTTGTTCCGATAATTTGAAATAAATCTTCATAAAATGTTTTCTCGAAATAAATCTTCCCAAGGAGACAGACAACGGTTGATCTCGTTGGGTCGATGTTTGTTCGCCAATTGATGACCAATAAGCTTTATTTTATTCTAAGTCCCTTATCTAAGTGAACGTTTGCGAACGGAGAAATCGTGGAGTCCACCGGACGTAACACTAACAAAACAATACTTTTTCTCGAAACCCTTCCTGAAATTTTAAAAGAAAATGAAATTTATATCTTACCTCACGCTACTCACAGACAACTTAGTATTAAATTACATAACTTTCTAAACGAAAATGATCATCATTTAAACATTGTGCACGATCAGAAAGAAATCCTCAAGTTAACATTAGTTATTGAAGAATATTACCTTGGAGAAAAACTGTATGTATATGTTTCAAAATATCTTCCAGAGATAAGAAACAAAAATGAAATTATATCAGATGCCCATTCAGGCATATTAGGCGGGCATTATTCCGCGGAAAAGACACTTCAAAGAATCAGACAAAAATATAATTGGTCTAACATAACTATTGACGTTAAAGAATTTATTAGAAGATGTGAATCATGTCAGTTTAACAAACCAGGAACACAACAATCCTACATTTATTCTCCTCCAGATATTCCTCAATCCCCTAACGAAAAGATATCTATCGATATCATGGGACCATTCGAAATAACAAACGGAGGAAATAGATACATTCTTGTTACTCAAGATTATCTCACGAAATATATTTTGGTGGAACCTCTTAGAGACAAATCGACCGCGTCAATTATCAGATCACTTTGGTATTCCTGGCTTAGATACTTTGGAAAACCAAAAGAACTCCTTTCCGATAATGCTTTAGAATTCACCTCGAATGAATTTAAGACGCTTTGCGATAGACTACACGTTAAACATACACTCACTTCAATTTATCACCCATAATCAAACGGGAAAAATGAGAGATCACATATAATACTCACCGAATATATAAGACACTATATTAACGAACAAGAGCAGTGGAACATGAGATTGTCACAGGCGATGCTCACGTATAATTGCACGGTAAATAAAACTACGGGTTATACACCCTACGAATTACAATTTGGCAGGGAACCCAACCACATTTTCAGTGAAGAAGATGAAAGGTTGACTCTCCAAAAACAGGTTGAAGATTTACATTTGCAACATGAAAACAGATTAGAGGAAGCGCGCATAAGCATATGCGATTATCAAGACTCTAATCTTCCTATGAATTCCTATCCACGAATCGAGGAAAACGATTTGGTTCTCGTGAAGAACTTCAATGCTAAATCATTCGAGCCACAATGGTCCTTTCTCTGTGGTTCGACATGACAAATATAACGTATCACATCCGAGAAAACGCAGAAATTAAGCAATATCATCGAAGTGATATTAAACTTTTTCTTTCAGGAGAACAGAATGAATCTGAGACGAGTCGTTTTGATCATTCTCCTGCCAGTAATACTCCTGAGTCATCCTTGTAAAGGAATAGAAAAATACACGGTTACGCAACTCGACGCCAACGAAGTAATCTATCTCGAAACACTAGATGAAATAAAATTGTATCACGAACAGTGGAAAATAATAGTAGGATACGACTTTTCAGACTTAGAAAATAATTTTAATACAATCAAAGAAGCATACGAGGAATTGTATCGGAAATGCTCTTCCAAAATAGCCGATCAAAACTGGACTTGTTCCTCAATTAAGCGTATTGAACGACGATTAAATCATCTTAACGCGGTAGCAAACGATTTAGAAAATTTATTACATTTAGCAGGATTTCAGGGAAAAACGAGATCCAAGCGCGGACTATTCGACTTCAAAGGGGAAATCAGTAAAACTTTATTTGGTACTTTATCCGATGCCGACGCGACCTATTATAATAGTGAATTAGACAAATTGTATACAGACCAAAAGAAAATTATATAATTAAAAACTAAATTACTAGTATAATTATACTTAGAACTGTAAGTAGCAGCGGAAAGAATATTCAATACTCCTTGGATACAGTAAAGCATATGAATGAACAGTTCAACCGACTTAGTAACTTAGCACAAGCCAATGAGGCAAATATTTGAATAGATGAATTACTTCTTGATCTGGATGAAGAATTACAAAAATTAATTAATGATATCAAACAAACAGAAGATTTGATTGTAGACACGGACACTGTCAAACCATATGTTTTAACGCTTAAGGAACTGTTTAGTTTACTTAGAAAACATCAGCATATTGATAACTTTCCCGTACCATTAAACGAAATCTATTACACTACATTAGTAGATATAAGCGAAATATCAATAGCATTAACGGAAAAACGTATACTTATCCAACTTCTAATCCCTTTAATAGAAGATAAAACTTTGGAGCTATAACTAATATAATATCACTACCTACACACGGCTGGCTACAGCAATCTATTGTAGACACTACTCAAAGACTCATTTTACTAGATACACTTAGAACTACATTTATGCCAATTAACGAGTTAGAATTGAGTACGGCTAGAAAATTTGGAAAGTATCAACTTTTAAAATGGACATATCCAGATTACAAAATGGGCATAAAAGACAACTGTTTGACAGAAATCCTTACAAAACGTGATACCGAAAAGTGTACAACAAAGTACATGCAAATCCAGAATACATTATGGTTACAGCTTCACTTTAACCAAGATTGGATCGGAATTGCTCCAAGAGAGGAGTCTTTGCATATACTTTGTTCAGATAAAATACCTCGTAATGTACGAGTTTATCAAAATTTTATACTCCA